AAAAATATTTTTTACATTGTAGAACAATATGGACATCAAACCTGTGAAGTAACTTAATATGGTAGTCAGATGGGATGGTGTGTCAATTCAGTGCATTCACAGCCTTTCACAATATCCATACCTAACAAAGACATAAAACTGCATTCATCAAAGCAACGGACGGATTTCCGCTGGTGTAATATCCAGTTCAGTAATGAGCAGACTTCTAAAATTACTTGTAACTCTGTTTCTTGTTGTTTAAAGTAGTGGATTTTGCTTTTGCTATTCAGTCATGAAGGGCTGAGTCACAGACATGCTTTTTAATGTTTAATCATTTTTATCTTTTTATGGCCTGTTGATAGAATCTCGCTTATGGCATCCCAAATCCTGCTTTGAATAATTTAAAGTAAACTTTGTTTTCTCTTCATATATTCAGGTGATATTTCTGCGTTCTGATACAAAAAAGAATAAAAATAATAAAGAATCCTTAAAAAAAAAAAAGAAAAAGCGGGATCCAAACTTGTAACTGATATCAATATCATGTTTATTTGTACATGTCCTGTGCCATTTTTATTGTTGTGTTCATTTGTTAAACAGATGTCTTCCTTTCTACTTCTCTTCATTCAATTGTTCTTCAGGCCCAGGAAAATAGTAATACATCATCATCAAAGAAGAAAACAAAGTTTGTCAATCTCTACGCTAAAGAGGGTCAGGACAGGCTGGCTGTGTTACTCCCCGGTCGGCATGCTTGTGAATGCCTTGCCCAAAAGCACAAGCTTATTAACAACTGCATCACCTGTGGCCGTATTGTGTGTGAGCAAGAGGGCTCAGGACCCTGTTTCTTCTGTGGCAGCCTGGTACATATCACTTTAAGTCCTTAGATTGCGTTGTTGTTTTGGGGGTTTTTTTGTCATTCTTCTTGTGCTAAAAGTGTTTTCTGATTAAGGTCTGCACAAAAGAAGAACAGGAGATCCTCCAACGAGACTCCAACAAAAGCCAGAAACTAAGAAAGAAGCTCATGGGCGGTGAGGGTCTTAAGTAGTCAGGACTTATGAAAAGAAACTCTTTGAAAAGATCAACTGGTTTGATACTGTGAGTTTGTTTTTATTTTGGTGACAGACTTCGGAGAAAGAGATTATCTCTCACACCAAGAGGCCACGATGAAGGCTGGGCTGGAGAAAGCAATTCAGCACAAAGACAAACTGCTGGAATATGACAGAAATAGGTATCATAAAACACACAGTTAAGAAAAGAGCTTTACAAGAATGGATAGGTTTACTGCTCTGTGTGCAGTGTTTACACTTTAACAGGACATTTTGATTGCTGTTGAAGATAGTGATGAAAGTTGGTAATAACACTTCACTGCCTCCCTTTAACCCCAGTATCAGAAGAACGCAGGTTCTGGATGACGAGTCTGATTACTTTGCCACTGAATCCAATCAGTGGTTGTCACCCAATGAGCGAGAGAAACTGAAGAAAAAGGAAGAGGAGCTGAGAGAGCTTCGCCATGCCTCTCGCAAAGACAGGAAGATCACACTTGACTTTGCTGGTAGACAAGTAATTGAAGAGGGAAACAACCTGAATGAGTATTACAACAAGTAAGATAATCTGACAGCACCTGAATCACAACAGCAATTCCAGATTTATGTTATGTGGTTGTGTTAAACAGCCAGACTTTCTGAAATGTTTCCAATAATTTGCAGGTTGGATGAGACCCTCAAGGCAATGAGCAATGAATCGGTGTCCAAATCACCAATGTATTCTGAAAGAAAGGGTGGACGGCAGGGCCTCAGAGATCTGGTGAATCCCAACATAATGCAATCTGCGCCAGAGGTAACTTGATCCATTCTGAACGTGGCATTTCTTCTTTAATCATTCTTCTTTAGTCATTTGTATTATTTTATAAATTCAAATGAAATATCAGTCAAATCCCTTGAGTTTGCTCTGCACTTTAACCCATCACAAAACAGTGAGCATTGAAACAGACTCTACTGATGTTTCTAACGAATGCCTATTTCAGTGGGTTGATGTTGGAGGGAGTGAAAGCCACAAGAAACCAATGGAGAAGGGAAAGAGTGCAATGGAGGACAAGGGAAGAGAAGAACGACACCGGTTGAGGCTCCAAGACAAAGAGCTGCAGGAGATGTCCGATGGCGGCTGGTGCCTCAGCATGCACCAACCGTGGGCCTCGCTACTGGTAAAGGGCATCAAGAGGTAAGGACTGTGCAGTGTGTGTGTGTGTGTGTGTGCTGTATATATGATAAACTCCTATAGACACTTGGGTTTTGGCAAAGTGTTGTAATGTGTGACATTTTATGTGTGTATGCAGGGTAGAAGGACGAACGTGGTACACGTCACACCGTGGGCGACTTTGGATTGCAGCTGCAGCAAAGAAGCCCACCCCTCAAGAAATCGCAGAGGTGGAAGCCATGTATCGCCACATTTATAAAAAAGGTGCAGATGCTGTACAAAGGAATCATATTGTGAATACTAAAAATGTATTTCTGGTTTAAACAGATTTAAATATGGTGCTGCTGAAGATAGAAAAAAAGCTGCTACAAAATATAATGCATGGGTAATGCTTTCCTTGGCTCAGGAAAAAATTATATAGAAATATTTATGTTAAAAATGCCCCCAGTAGCTTTGTGTGGGCCCTTTTAAAGGCTGTTGTAACAACATTAGCGCTAGGTTTCGTAATAGGCCCTTTGGATCTTATTGCCAAGCTTTGGCCTTTCTCTGTGAAAGCTGTGAAAGGACATAGTGTCTTTAGGGCATATTTAATAAACTTTTTTATTGCACACAGTAAAGTATTTCTAGCAGAAAAGTATATTTGTTTAAATTTGCTAACAAGCACAACTTTCTTTTCATGGGCATGATAAAATGCTGTTAATAACATGTCATAATGGTATCATAATTTAGCGCTGATACAAGTAATATTAATGCTAAACTGGGCTCTGTCATGTTGCTGTCATAAAGTGATACTGATTGCTTTTAATTCCACACATTGTTGATTGAGTGATCCTGGTCTTATCTCCACAGGGCCCATGTTTCCTAAAGACTATCCCACTGGCTGCTTGCTGGGCTGCGTTAATGTGACTGACTGTCTATCTCAGCAGCAATTCGGGGAACAGGTTAGTGAAAGATGTACTTTTACAACCCAAAAAAAAAAACAACCAAAAAGTGAAACTCTCAGGTTTCACTACTCTTAACGGTTTCCTTATGACTGATTGGTATTATGGGTTCTGTTTGAAGTCAGTCGTGGGTTCACAGAAACATGAAATGTCTGCAACTGGATTAAAGATGACAGCCTTCCTGTCATCATTTGTGCTTAGTTGTGATCTAAAGTAGTTGTACATTTAAAGTATAAATTAATTCACTTGAGAAAATGTCAATAAATTCTGGGTTTGTACATGAAAAAGGCCATATATAGGGTTTATGTATTTGTCCATGTGAGCCTTGGAGACAGTGTTAAAGTGACGCATCAAACACTTAACTTGTATTAAGTTAGAGACAGAGTTTTGTAATAAGTCTTTTCATTCAGAACTGTGTTAAGTAATGACTCAGTTCCAGTTATGGCAAAAAACAGTAGTGGTTGTAAAAACATTGAGACTTCTCATTGTGTTTGAAATGCCCAGTGGATAATTTTGAGTAATAAGTATGATCTCAAGCTCTAGTCCTTTTATGTCAGTACTGTTTAGTGACTGTGTAGTTGGCTGTTCTGTGTAATTGTGAGTAATTTGGTGCAGTGCCACTTTCTGTCAGCAGAGAGCAGACTCCACCCTTTTCACAACACCTCCCTGCCAGTTTACAGTGTTACACTAGGGGCAGTATCCACCACAGAAACCAAATACAAGCTCTCGTTACACCAAAATACCTCCCACCAGAGTGGTGATATGTACATTTTACGGTGGTACCAGTCTTTGTGTGTATTTCAGATATGTTCACAGGAGAAAGCGATTCTACTTGAAATGAAATCCTCCCCCCCCCCCTCTTAGTTCACACTGTTAGAGTGACTGTGAACATGTGATGTAGCAAATAATGCTGCTGCTCCATTAGTGCCATGGTCACTGTTGCCTTGTAGGACTAATAAACTGTTTACTTGAGCTTTTGCACCTAAATCAGTTGAATTAATTGCAGTGTTACCAGATATAAGCTGGAAAATGCACCCTGCTTTCCATTACAGCATCATGTGGAAACAGAGTGGCTCTCCCCATTTGCTGTGAATGGAACACATTTAAACTTAATTGCATTGCCATCTTCATTTGGCTGTTTTGCCCCCGGCTTTGCAAGACACTGCTCGTCTCAAATCATTCTTTTACAGACTATTAAATGTGTGTATTGTATGTTATTATAACACTTCACCAAGAACGTTGTGTTTTTTTCCTTTAAATTTTCATCTTTAGGTACATGCCTTATTTGATTACATTAGTTACTTTTTATTCTGTACTCTACACCTCTACCTGGTATACTCCATATATATATCGTAACACACGGATACACTCGCATCCATGTAGAATAGTCTTGTTGAACTATTTAAGTGGGGGAATTCGTCAAATTCTACACATTGCATAAACATGCTCTCACCCTGCAAAGCTGCAAAACCTCTTGCACATGTGCATACATGATCTTCTGCCATCTTTAGTGATAAACAAAAGCAGATCACATTTGGAAACTGCACAGTCTTAAAAAAAGACGCATACACACAGAAAAGGCAATAATCTGCTTGTGGGTTGTTGTATTTCTGCACATCTCTGCATACACACACAGTATCTCCCTGCATAAAGGCAGTTGTTGTTTTGTTTTTTTCTGAGAAGCTGTGTTTTTGGTTGAAAGAAAAAAATAGCCTTAAAAATGTGTCCTGTTTCATGGTTGCATTCTGACTGCTGGGACCTGTAAATCTAAGGGCTTTCCCCTTTTGTACTCTGTCCTCATTCTCTCCTCCACCACTCATTCCACCCAGGGCTGTAAAATCATGTTTGCAGGCAGTGTGGCTGCCCTTTCATCCTGTGAAAGGGTGTGTGTATGTGTGTGTGTATGTGTGACCACTTGCACAGAGCAGCCATAAATAACACCCCCACCTCACACAAGGCCCCTTAGAAAAAAAGAAAGCAAGACACATGTAGAAAAAAAGTGAACCAACTAGAAAAGAATAGAAAAGAATAACAGCACCAAATGCCTAATGATGGTGCTGAACTGTTAGCTTTTGCCTATTGGAGTCGACATTTTGGAAAAAAGGAAAAGCCATTAATGGTTTAGCGTTTGAATCTTGATTCCTTTTGTGTAAGTAGAAGAGGGCATGTTGTGCTAGTGTATAGTAGCACATAGCTGCACTGCTGGGTTGGGAGAGTGGGTGAGGTGTAGGATTTACTGTCCTGTGCTGGCAGCTGTGGGTGGTTAAAAGGGGGGTGGTGAAGGACAGACAGCCATTATTCTTCAGGCTCTTCTAAATCTGTCTCTTCATGATGTATGAAATATTCAGGGAAAGTGGAATGTGGGAAGATCAGGAGAGCATGAGAGAAACACTACTGACTCACAGAAATGGAAAAAAATGTTTTTAACGCTTAAATGTCACTGATCGACGATTCTGTGTCATTGCACTCGTTCCTCTGTTGGGGCGCTATTGCACAACACCAAAACCGGAAACCCTGCTGACAGACAGTGCAGAAAGACCACCTCAGGCAGAGCAGGATTTCCATCTGCTTGACTTGGACCAATTCTTTCCCTCATTAGAAACTGACTGGTGTATTGATCCGTTCTCCCTGTAATCTCTCACTCCTTCCAGCTTCCCATCCCCCCCCTTAGTACTGATAATTGGCCAGCCATTATGATCTGTATTCTGTCTCTCCACTCCTACCCCCCAGTGCTCACTCAGCAATGGGTGGAGATGTATGCCTGACCTGCCTGCTGCAGAGGGGGGTTGGGATAGAGATGGGTATGTTACAGATTGAAAATGGGAATGTTTTTGCTGCAAAAGGCTAAGTGAGATAATTAAGCATCAACAGAGGGGTGCAGCCAATCTGAGCAGCTTTATAGGTGGTAAAAATGTTACAGATTCTTTATATTGAGTAAAGCTGCTTTAAGTCAAAAGGAATTTCTCTTTTCTTTTTTCCCTTTTTTTTTTTTATACATAAATCAACACATCCACATATGTGTTCTCTATCTCCACGAAAGCTTCTAGCACAGACAAAGGCACATCAGACCCCATGCAGAGCTTGAATCACACATCTACTTACTCCTGCAGTGAAAAAATTGATTGGATCAATCCACACTCTCATTTAAGGTCTGATTTGTTACCCTGTTTCAAAGACCAGATCACCAGCTGCAGAGATACATGTCTTAGTGAATACAAAAAAAAGGTCTTCATTCATATGATATGACTAAGAGGACAAGAAGTCAAAGTGGGCAATGTGTGTGAGGGAGGTTTGTACATGTATTATCTGAACAAAGAGCCCTACACATTTCCTGATGATAAAATATTAACATAGTAATCTGTAAGTTGCATCATTCTTTTTTTGCACAGTAATCCAGTCTGTGGTATCTCAGATAAGCATATTTTTTTGACCTCAGAACTGTTAACGGCTGGTATGTAACACATTTCCCGGCTCACGTACGTATCAGTTAAATGCATATTCGTGACATGACTCGAAACCAACTGTTAAAGACTCTGTTTTTGTTTTGTTTTTTCTTTTGTCATTAATTCCACTTTAAGAGCAAAGAAATTTACCTTTTATTTCAGAAATGATTTATTTATTTTTGTTGTTAGACAAGAACAGGCTTTGATGTGTCACAGCAGGAATAACACAAGTTAAAATAATCAGGATGGTGGCTGAATTTCAGTTAGCTTCACTTTTAGGGTATTGATCTTGAGCATGCTCACTGTCACGCTTTCATTACTAGAATAAAGCAAATATTAATGTTAGAAGTTAACGATACTTTGCCAACATACTGAGTCAAAACTTACATTTGGGTTTTAAAAGGAAATGCAAGCACTGAAGTGAGTGCTAACTCAGGTGAAACTCTTATTTACAGCATAGCATGTAAAGATAAGAAGATTTTATATAAAAAAGCAAGAATATAAAATGGTTTTCTTATGGTGTTCATCTGCTGCATGGATAGATATATATGTTATAGTATACCATCAGCATATATGTTTAGTTGACAACAGCGGCATATGCATATATTTATTGTTTGCATCTGAACACTAGTGAGAAAGTCAAAGAGCCATTATACCGCAATAATTAACAGTAATAAAAAAAAAAGCACATACAAAATTAAGTAATTCTGGAATAACCCACTCAGCATGACACATATGACACAAAAACAACAAATCTAAAGTCGGAACGTGGTGTGAGCACTTTTTGACTAGCAGGTTCTTCCCAGCATCTTAGTTCTCCGGAGGATTTAGGCTGCCTCAGTGCCTTTGGCTTCTTCATGTAATCCCAGACTGACTCAGTGTTGATGAGATCAGGGCTCTGTGGGAACCATACCATCTGTTGCAGGACTCCTCGGTCTTCTTGTCACTGATAATTCTTTATGGCCCTCGCTGTGGTATGGTTGGGGTATTTGTCCTGCTGCAGACCTGCTGAGTTTAAGACGATCAGGTGTCTCTCTGAATATACTGCAGTACATCTTTTTCCCCCTTTTACTGAACATGGGTTGCTGAGTCAGATGCTTCACAGTTCAGATTTTACTGATCGCAGACTCATACTGCCAAAATAGCTGAGTGTTGTTCTATGTCTGCCTTTCCCGCTACCTTAATCTCATCTAATCTAATCTGCTGTGCATTGGTCAGTTAATAAAACGAGGCTTTAAGTTGTTCTTCACTGTGGCTTCAAGCCTATTTTTGTGGAATTGTGTATGTAATCTTATTCTAGCTCAGTATATATATTATATATACTGCAGCTTGGTACATCTGTGCACACTAGCACATGTGAGATAACTGAAACCAGGCTTATACCACATCACACAGCTGCAAGGCTACAGCCACTTATCTGTTAAAAGAAGTGCTGGTTCCTGTGGAATTCCATTTGTGTAAGCTCTGCCTCTGACCTCCAGAGTGGAGCTCCTGTGCTTGTTAGGCCTGCTGGAAGCTCAAACTGATGCCTGCGTTTCCTTGTGTGGTAATGTGATATTTATATGCTGAAAGCCTTCCTGCCAGCATGCCACACACGCACATACACTCACACTCACAGGATATATTGGATGCATTCCAAAGGAAGGGAAGTCAGGCAATGCTGTTTTTTTTTTCATGCCCCTTTTCTCTGTAACATTGTGTGAATCCTTAGCAGTGGTTGCTTCCATCTCTTCCTCCTCTCCTCCCCCCTGCATTATTCCATCCATATTTTTCCCTCTCTAACAGTATGTTTTACAGGTCAGTGCGGTGAAGTTGTGTGTGGATGCAGAGAATTCAGTTTACGCTCAGTAAACAGACATGCAAGCTCATACTCAATCATGCATCTTTGGGTCTTGCTTTCGCTCCCTGCCTCTTTCTGTGCAACCTCAGTCACACACTAACACGCTGACATTCCTCCCCTTCCTCCCTGTTCCTTGCTGGGCAGTTTGCCACGGCAGAGAGGTCAGACATCATGTGATTCTGCAGTGGTGTGTAGAATGCATTCAGCTCTGGGTCCCCAGGCACTGGATGATAACCAACCGAACCTCAGTCACAGGTTTTCCACAGCATGAAAAATACATAGAACCATCTGCCAGACTCGAAATGGCCTGATACACCGTTTAGAATTTCACTGCAGTCCACAGACCACTTAATTAAATGTCACACAGTTTCTACTGTTGGGGAAACTGCCTGTTAATACCCATTTATTATCTCTGCTTCTTCTCTATTTTGTTCTGCTCATTTAATAGGACTTGTTCCTCTCTCAGTATGCTGATCACAGGAACTCGGAACAATGATAAAGCCAATGCGAGGAATATTTCACGCAGCTCCCTTTTGATGGTTTGAAAGACAGCACCGTTGATGAAAATAAGTCAGAATCAAAGAGAGTAACTGAATATCAACTTACTTGAAGTCTTGAATGCAAAACAGGTTCAAATCCTTATTTTCTCTTTAAAAATGGTGTGATGTGCTTTTGCTCTTTTAAGTCAGAGCTTTTCAACATATTTCTAATCCACAGCAGTCTTTTCCCTTTTTTGAAGAGATAAAATATCAGTGAAGTCCTAGTCGCTTCTAAACTGTAGTCTCCTGGAATATAAATGGTGAGGGTGTACTTAATTACATGGTGTCTAATATTGACTGTAACAGAAAATATGATTGTTATAAAATATACTAAGAAGAAAAATCAGCAAAAGGGGAAGAAATGTTTGTTTTCACACTGACAGGATTCATCTCTAGTTTTTAGTCGTTGCGACACATTCCACGCAAATTCCATTAGTAAGTATTTGGCAAATGACAAACTTTTTTAATATTCAATTCAATTAAATTCAATTTTATTTATATAGTGCCAAATGACAACAACAGTCGCCTCAAGGCGCTTTATTTTACCTCTGTATAACATCAGAGTGGATTTAAATCAGTCAACGTGTGATTGAAGTGCAGATTTTCAGCTTTGGTTCAAGCATTCAACAAAAATATTACAATAACTGTTTAGGGTTTACAGCAACTTTTAAACACTGCCCCCCGTTTTAATATGCTCAACAGTAGTTGGTCAATTTAACATAACATGAAATAAAAGGATTGTTTTTAATATTTCAATGACAATCCTCTGTGACCAATTTTGTCCTCAGTAACTGAAAAGCAAGCTCTGTTGGGTTGAGATCAGGTCCCTGATTTAGCCATTGAAAAATGTCCTAATTTTTGGTTTGGGTCACTATTCGTTTGCTCTGTGAAGCTCTGTTAGATCAGTCTTGAAGCATCTGGCTGAATCTGAGCAGAGAGCATAGCCCTTACACTTCACAATTCATCCTGCTGCTTCTATCACTAGTCGCATCATCCATAAACACTAGTGACTCGGTTCCACTAGCAGTCATATATGCGCATGCCCTTACATTGGTTCTGCCATGTTTGACAGATGATGTGTATATTTTTGATCATAAGCTGTTTCTTTCCTTCATATTTTTTCCTCCTGATCGTACTGTCACGGGTTAAGCTTGGTTTCTTCTGTATAAAAACGTTTTTTCTGGCAGTCTAATCTCACCTTCTTGTTCTTGAGTGCAGTTGGTGGTTTGGACCTTGTTGTAAACCCTTGGTATTTCCATTCATCGTGGTGTCTAATGGTTTAACAATGATTGCTTAACAATTTGAGTGTTCTTGACTTCATTAGATGCTTATTTTTCTTAGTTATTAGTTTAGTTGTTTTCAGTGATCTTTCTGACACTTTGAATCAACTCCAGTTTCTCTATTTACATAAGGCGCACCAGATTATAAGGTGCACTGTCGATGAACGGGTCTGTTTTCATACATAAGGCGCATTAAGCGAAACAAAACAGTCAGATAAGTCAAACTTTACTCAACTCATTCTTTTTGCTTCCTCCACTTCCATACCATTGATTCATTAATGTTGAATTCTCTCGCAGCTGCTCTATTCCCATGTTTTTGCAGTATTTTAATAACTAACCTCGTATTGTGGATGGATTATCTGAGTTGTTCTCCTGACTGAAGTTTGGTCCGTTTACAGCATCCTGTCATGCGATTGCATTTGTCCTTAACCATCGGGAACCCTCACGTTAACTTTTATAGAGTGGAAAAAAGTTAGCGTTCATCCTCCAGCTTCACTGTGTTTGTTATGCTAACATAGCTGTGTAGCTAGCGATTACGTAGCACATCATTGTATACCAGCTAGCCCAACTTCAGTAACCCTACAAAAGTCACTGCTGTTTAGTTTTCTGTCTTCATTTATGTTGGAAGTGATAGCAGAGCTGTACGTTTGAATTTCTTCAGAA